ATATAGTGTGTAGCAGTGGGTATTAGATATATAGTGTGTAGCAGTGGGTATTAGATATATAGTGTGTAGCGGTGGGTAGTAGATATATAGTGTGTAGCAGTGGGTAGTAGATATATAGTGTGTAGCGGTGGGTAGTAGATATATAGTGTGTAGCAGTGGGTATTAGATATATAGTGTGTAGCGGTGGGTATTAGATATATAGTGTGTAGCGGTGGGTAGTAGATATATAGTGTGTAGCAGTGGGTAGTAGATATATAGTGTGTAGCAGTGGGTATTAGATATATAGTGTGTAGCGGTGGGTAGTAGATATATAGTGTGTAGCAGTGGGTAGTAGATATATAGTGTGTAGCGGTGGGTAGTAGATATATAGTGTGTAGCAGTGGGTATTAGATATATAGTGTGTAGCGGTGGGTAGTAGATATATAGTGTGTAGCGGTGGGTAGTAGATATATAGTGTGTAGCAGTGGGTATTAGATATATAGTGTGTAGCAGTGGGTATTAGATATATAGTGTGTAGCGGTGGGTAGTAGATATATAGTGTAGTGGGTAGTAGATATATAGCAGTATTAGATATAGTAGCAGATATATAGTGTAGTGGGTAGTAGATATATAGTGTGTAGCAGTGGGTATTAGATATATAGTGTGTAGCGGTGGGTAGTAGATATATAGTGTGTAGCGGTGGGTAGTAGATATATAGTGTGTAGCAGTGGGTATTAGATATATAGTGTGTAGCAGTGGGTATTAGATATATAGTGTGTAGCGGTGGGTAGTAGATATATAGTGTGTAGCAGTGGGTAGTAGATATATAGTGTGTAGCAGTGGGTATTAGATATATAGTGTGTAGCGGTGGGTAGTAGATATATAGTGTGTAGCGGTGGGTAGTAGATATATAGTGTGTAGCAGTGGGTATTAGATATATAGTGTGTAGCAGTGGGTAGTAGATATATAGTGTGTAGCGGTGGGTAGTAGATATATAGTGTGTAGCAGTGGGTATTAGATATATAGTGTGTAGTGGTGGGTATTAGATATATAGTGTATAGCAGTGGGTATTAGATATATAGTGTGTAGCGGTGGGTAGTAGATATATAGTGTGTAGTAGTGGGTATTAGATATATAGTGTGTAGCGATGGATAGTAGATATATAGATACAGGGAGTGCAGAATTATTAGGTAAGTTGTATTTTTGAGGATTAATTTTATTATTGAACAACAACCATGTTCTCAATGAACCCAAAAAACTCATTAATATCAAAGCTGAATATTTTTGGAAGTAGTTTTTAGTTTGTTTTAGTTTTAGCTATGTTAGGGGGATATCTGTGTGTGCAGGTGACTATTACTGTGCATAATTATTAGGCAACTTAACAAAAACAAATATATACCCATTTCAATTATTTATTATTACCAGTGAAACCAATATAACATCTCAACATTCACAAATATACATTTCTGACATTCAAAAACAAAACAAAAACAAATCAGTGACCAATATAGCCACCTTTCTTTGCAAGGACACTCAAAAGCCTGCCATCCATGGATTCTGTCAGTGTTTTGATCTGTTCACCATCAACATTGCGTGCAGCAGCAACCACAGCCTCCCAGACACTGTTCAGAGAGGTGTACTGTTTTCCCTCCTTGTAAATCTCACATTTGATGATGGACCACAGGTTCTCAATGGGGTTCAGATCAGGTGAACAAGGAGGCCATGTCATTAGATTTTCTTCTTTTATACCCTTTCTTGCCAGCCACGCTGTGGAGTACTTGGACGCATGTGATGGAGCATTGTCCTGCATGAAAATCATGTTTTTCTTGAAGGATGCAGACTTCTTCCTGTACCACTGCTTGAAGAAGGTGTCTTCCAGGAACTGGCAGTAGGACTGGGAGTTGAGCTTGACTCCATCCTCAACCCGAAAAGGCCCCACAAGCTCATCTTTGATGATACCAGCCCAAACCAGTACTCCACCTCCACCTTGCTGGCGTCTGAGTCGGACTGGAGCTCTCTGCCCTTTACCAATCCAGCCACGGGCCCATCCATCTGGCCCATCAAGACTCACTCTCATTTCATCAGTCCATAAAACCTTAGAAAATCAGTCTTGAGATATTTCTTGGCCCAGTCTTGACGTTTCAGCTTGTGTGTCTTGTTCAGTGGTGGTCGTCTTTCAGCCTTTCTTACCTTGGCCATGTCTCTGAGTATTGCACACCTTGTGCTTTTGGGCACTCCAGTGATGTTGCAGCTCTGAAATATGGCCAAACTGGTGGCAAGTGGCATCGTGGCAGCTGCACGCTTGACTTTTCTCAGTTCATGGGCAGTTATTTTGCGCCTTGGTTTTTCCACACGCTTCTTGCGACCCTGTTGACTATTTTGAATGAAACGCTTGATTGTTCGATGATCACGCTTCAGAAGCTTTGCAATTTTAAGAGTGCTGCATCCCTCTGCAAGATATCTCACTATTTTTGACTTTTCTGAGCCTGTCAAGTCCTTCTTTTGACCCATTTTGCCAAAGGAAAGGAAGTTGCCTAATAATTATGCACACCTGATATAGGGTGTTGATGTCATTAGACCACACCCCTTCTCATTACAGAGATGCACATCACCTAATATGCTTAATTGGTAGTAGGCTTCGAGCCTATACAGCTTGGAGTAAGACAACATGCATAAAGAGGATGATGTGGTCAAAATACTCATTTGCCTAATAATTCTGCACTCCCTGTATTTTGCATATATGTATGTGCAGTGAGTATAATGTGTACATGTGCACCATGTATAATGTATGTATGTGCAGTGTGTATAATGTGTACATGTGCACCATGTATAATGTATGTATGTGCAGTGTGTATAATGTGTACATGTGCACTGTATATAATGTGTGTATGTGTACTATGTATAATGTATATATGTGCAGTGTGTATAATGTGTTCATGTGCACTGTATATAATTTGTGTATGTGTACTGTGTATAATGTATGTATGTATGTGCAGTGTGTATAATGTGTACATGATCACTGTATATAATGTGTGCATTATTAGATATAATATAATATAATGTGTGTATGTGCCCTGTGTATATTCTGCATATGTGCATTACATATATGTGTGTATGTGCACTGTGTATAATATGTGTGCACTGTGTATAATGTGTGTAGTGCATTGTATATAATGTGTGTATGTGCATTGCGTATAATGTGTGTAGTGCATTGTATATAATGTGTGTATGTGCGTTGTGTATATTGTGAGCATTGCATTGTATAATGTATGTATATGGACAATATAATGTGTCTATTGCATGCACTGTGTATAATGTGTGTATGTGCGCTGTATATAATGTGTGTGTGTGTGCACTGTGTATAATGTGAATATGTGCACTTTATATTATGTGTGTATGTGCACTGTGCATAATGCGTGTATATGCATTGTATATAATCAGTGTATTTGCACTCTGTATAATGTGTGTACGTGCACTGTATATAATGTGTGTGTGTGTGCGCTGTATATAATGTGTGTGTGTGCGTGTATATAATGTGTGTGTGTGTGCACTGTGTATAATGAGTGTACGTGCACTGTATATAATGTGTGTGTGTGCGCTGTATATAATGTGTGTGTGTGCGCTCTATATAATGTGTGTACGTGCACTGTGTATCATGTGCGTATGTGTATTGTATTTAATGTGTGTGCACTGTATATAATGTGTGTGTGTGTGCGCTGTATATAATGTGTGGGTGTGCGCTGTATATAATGTGTGTGTGTGTGCGCTGTATATAATGTGTGTGTGTGCACTGTGTATAATGTGTATACGTGCACTGTGTATCATGTGCGTATGTGTATTGTATTTAATGTGTGTGCACTGTGTATAATGTGTGCATGTGCATTGTATATATTGTGTGTATTGCATGCACTGTGTATACAGTGGCAGTGTTGCAAGGAATGTCTGTCATCCTCTATGATTCCTTGTTCACATTGCCAACTCAACACTGGGTTTGTTTTGGTTGCTGTGTTTTTCTGTGTCTGTCTGTAGGCTGTGTTGGCACTGGATCTGCCTCGGTTCCAGGTTCGGTGTGTACTCTCTCTGTAGGGACTGGTAGACTAATCATTTTGTTAATTTTCTACCTTATCCATCCAGGACATTCCTCTTCTTAAATGTATGTCATTCCTCTTCTTGAATGTGTCTTTCTTTCTGTCTCTGTGTGTGTTTCTCTTTCTCTCTGTCGTTGTCTTTACCTAATATGAGGAATTTCTACCAGTGTTGCTCAAAGCATCTATTTTCCCTCTGCCCAGCTCTCTGACATTCTGTTTTTCATTCTCTTTAAGGTTAAGGTTTGGTTCCAAAACAGGAGGACCAAGCAGAAGAAGGACCAAGGGAAGGACTCGGAGCTGCGCTCTGTGGTCTCTGAGACAGCGGCCACCTGCAGTGTTCTCAGACTCCTTGAACAAGGTCGTCTCCTGTCCCCACCTGGCCTTCCAGGACTTCTGCCCTCCTGTGCAGCCGGTGCCCTGCGTGCCCCCAGCAGCTCAGGTCCCGGAACGCCATCCCTACCAGCAGTAACCAGCACCCCTTCTCACCAGCCTGGACTTCATGCTTCCCCCAGCGGGCACAGCATATTCAGCATGCCTGTGCCATCTCTCCTGGGCACAGTGGCAAACAGGCTATCTGCCAACCCTCTGACCATGGCTGGAAACCTGCAGGAACTGTCTGCCCGGTACCTGAGCTCCTCAGCCTTTGAACCTTACTCCAGGAGCAGTAAAGATGGGCTGGACAAGAAAACTTTGGACTGACTAGAAGGATACCGCTTCTACTCCTACTCCCACAACTCCCATTCCTACTCTTAACAATAATAACAATATTAATAATAATGGGGGTGTTTATAGGCATGTGTGCTTATAAATACACACTGCACACATTGTGCAAACACACTCTATACATCATTCATACACACTGTGCATTGTATGTACACACACTATACATTATTATTATTTTATTATTTATATAGCGCCAGCAAATTCCCTAGCCCTGTACAATGGGACATTATACAAAAGTACTCTATACATTAAATATTACACACACACACACTCTATACATTACACACACTCTATACATTAAACATTACACACACACATGCTATACATTTAATATTAAACACACACTATATACATTACACACACTTTATACATGAAATATTACACACACACACACACACACAAACACACACATTCTATACATTAAATATTACACACACATTCTATACATTACACACACACACTCTATACATTACACACACATTCTATACATTAAATATTACACACACACTCTATACATTACACACACTCTATACATTAAATATTACACACACATTCTATACATTACACACACACACTCTATACATTACACACACTCTATACATTAAACATTACACACACATTCTATACATTATATATACACACTCTATAGACTACACACACTCTATACATTAAACATTACACATTATATGCATCAAATATACCCACTCTATACATTACACACACACACACACACACACTATTCATTATACATATACTACACATTATGCACACACACTCTATATATTACACATATACTACACACTATACACACACTCTATACATTAAATGTGGCATACACATTCTATACATTATAATACCCACTCTGTACATTACACACACACACACACACACACACACACTATTCATTATACATATACTACACATTATGCACACACACACTCTATATATTACACATATACTACACACTATACACACACTCTCTACATTAAATGTGGCATACACATTCTATACATTATAATACCCACTCTGTACATTACAAACACACACACACACACACACACACTATTCATTGTACATACACACTATACATTGTACACACACACTATACATCATACATACACACTATACATTGTACATACACACTACGCATTTTACATACACACTCTCTACATTATAAACACACTGTACTATTACATACACACATACACACAATCTACACATTATACATATACATGCTATACATTATCCATACACACTCTACATATTACACAGACACTATCCATTAGGTATACACACACTGTACACACTGTACACGTTATACATACACACTATGCGCAGACAGTCAATGACTATCATTAAGGGTTAATGTTGGGGGAAGAGCACCGGAGGGCTTTTCCATCTCCCAAAGCAGCTCCATGTGCTGCAGCCTACATGCTATATAAAAATGGACTTTATAAAATAGTACTTTATAAAGCAGTCACCAGCGATCTACTCATAAATCAAATAGGAACGTATTGCGATCCAAAACCACCTGCAGGGTGGGAGTAGGGAAAATCGAACTTGGGCTCAGATGGATGTTCTGCGTGTGAGCTTAATTGAGTTTAGAAGGATTTTACATGAATTCAGGTGGATCTTACATGAGTTTAGAATGGTCTTACATGAATTCAGGTGGATCTTACATGAGTTTAGAATGATCTTACATGAATTCAGGTGGGTCTCACATGAGTATAGAAGGATCTTACATGGGCTACATTAGGCAAGGTAGATAAGTTTTCCATTGTCTACAGGATATTGAACCCTTTCATAAAGCTGAGGTTTTAACTGAATAAAAATGGAGATAATGTTTATAATCCATGATTCCTATTTTTGGACACTATAGTCACTAAAACATATTTAGCTTAATGAAGCAATTTTTGTGTTTAGATCATGTCCCTGCAGTCTAACTGCTCAAGCCTATGCCAGTTAGGAGTTAAATCAGTTTGTTTATGCAGCCTTAGCCACTCCTCCCTGCATGTGACTTACACAGCCTTCCTAAACACTTTCTGTAAATAGTCATCTAATGTTTACATTTCCTTTATTACAAATTCTGTTTACTTTAGAATTTCTTATCCCCTGCTCTGTTAGTAGCTTGCTCGATCCTGCAATTACCTCCTTTGTGTGATTAAAGTTCAATTTACAGAGCACGAGATAAAAATGTTTAAAGTTACATCTAATTGAAAAAATGAAATAATTTTTTTAATGCAGCCTGTGTCAGTCACAGCCAGAGGAGATGTGGCTAGGGCTGCATAAATAGAAACAAAGTGATTTAATTCCTCAATGACAGAGAACTAATTAGTGAAACCTCAGTGGCATGATTTATACACCAAAACTGCTTCATTACGCTAAAATAGTTTTGGTGCCTATAGCGTCCCTTTAAAAAAAAAATAGCTTTATCTGTGTTTTTAATTTTAATTTATTTAACATACATTTAACAGAGCCTGTCATGATATCACCAGCAAAACCAGATATTTACACATTTGCAAAACTGTATAAATATTTACAGACAGATTCTACAAGCAGCATGTGAATGTGCCCCCTCTGTTTGTTTAACATATATACTCAATCCCTTGCCTAATGGGACACCGTGCCCTATTCCACACTATAAACCCATAGATTCAAAAACCTATAGATACACGCACGACGGCCTAACAGATAGAACAACATGTAGGCCTGCTGTTTGGGGCATCCAGAATCCAGCCATCAGTAATGTGGTTAAGGGAGCAAACCGCAGAACTAATCATACCAGACCAACATAATGTTTTATATCACACTTTTCATTAGGCCTTACATTGAGAACAGAGTAAAAAAATTTGGGGGGGGAGGAGGGACTTGCAAAAAAACCTGTGGAGGGAGCACTGCCCCACTTACCCTCTGGGTAAGCCACCACTCATCCATGAACATCACAGAAAACAAGCCATGTGTCCAAGCTCGAGATTTCATCATTGCCCCATTGTTGACAGTACCCTGCTTTCATGTAACCAGCTGCCCGGTGCCAAGAAATTAGAAACAAAATATATCTGAATGATATTCATTATTACATGACAAGATGTTTACTTGAAAATTTTAGAACTTTAACTCGAAGCACACAGAAGGACCAGGTTAATTTTGTGTGAAAAAAATGATTGATGTATTTCAAAAATAATGTTTTCTAAACAAAGAATGCCAAGTGGATTATGGAAGACTTTGGCTCAGTTTGAATAGATTCCCAACAAATCCTGCACTTGAACTCAGCTCACATTGTGTAACGACTGATCTACTTACTGGTGTTTACATGTACACTCACTGTGTGTCACCTACTTACCAAAAAGATTCCAATATGGGCAGTTACATCATCGACCGTAGGCTAGAATTTTTATAACAATTAAAAATGGGAGTGCGACTGTATGTGTGTGTGATTGCAACACGATGATCTTAACTATAGTAATTTTATTGTAAATTATTGAAGTCTGAAATTCTGAAAAAAATTGTTGCAAAATGAATGATTTTAAAACCAATCTTTGCTACAAAGACTTTTTATTTGAAAATTGGATGTCCAAGGGTGTTTTGTGTCAATGTTGTGAGAGTGACCTATGCATATATATATATATATAACGAAAAGTGTATATACATATATATATATATGATGACAGATTTAATGTATTTTCACACTATATTTAAACACCAAATAATTATTATTTGATACGTGCTCTGGACGATGTTACTTCATGAGATATCTGTTTGGAACGTTTTTATGTTGCATACCAGGCTGTTTTGACTTTACCATTAAACGGACGATAAGAGCTGGTACTGGGTGTCTTCCTTTCTTCATTCATGTATACAGCCAAACTCATTTTCTGAAAAGTCTAATAAACTCACATACGGCCTACATAGTGCGTGATATACAATTTGCACACATAGGGGAGCATTACCAGAGCAGTAAATTGTGTGAGCTCTATAACTGGCTTTCAAGATTTAGACAAAAACAGCTGGCTTTTTAAAATGTCTAATTTGCCGAGACTGGAGAGTATTTTGTTTCATCTATTCAATAATCAAAACAAATGTAGCTCTACCAACGAAATCTGTCCAATAGCGTTCTCGTGAGAAGGCAGATTTAAAGTGCATCAGTCACCTCAAAACAATTTTTAATATAATAATCCTTTCATTGAGTATTGAAAAGAAATTGATTTTCCTTAAAGGGACACTCCAGGCACCCAGACCACTTCTGCCCACTGGAGTGGTCTGGGTGCCAACTCCCACCACCCTTAACCCTGCAAAAATAATTAGGGGAGAATTTTGGGCGGAGCCTGGCCCTGCGCCGAAGAACATCGGTGCTGGATTCAGGTAAGTCACTGAACCCCTTCAGCAACATGGGATGGAGAGGGGCACTGCAGACCCACCATACAGTCCCCCTACCCACCTCACAGCCCCCCTACCCACCATACAGTCCCCCTACCCACCTCACAGCCCCCCTACCCACTCACAGTCCCCCTACCCAC